CTAATGAGTTTCTGCTATTGGGTGTGGCCTATTATGCTAATGAGTTCCTGCTGGGCGTGGCCAACTCAGGAGCCAGTCAGAACTCCGTTCCTGTGCCTTCCTGCCCAAAAGTAGCCCTGGTTGCAACCCTTGCAGGGTGTGCACTAAACTTCCTGTCCACATCTGCTAAGCCATGGGTAAGGAGGAAAGGGGTGAGCCTGTGCTGATGGATTTTTTCCATTATATAGTAGCTATGAAGTAGTAGGCCATCTTGCAAAGGTGATGAAAAGTCTACAACAATCTTCTCAGATGTAACACTCCTCTACCCTATAGGTTTTCATGGAGAAAGTCTAACAATGGCGGATGGCTAGTAATTGTATGTTCTCCTCTCTTCTTTTTGGCTGCTACTGCTACAGCTTGGTTTAGATTTCTCAGAATTAGAGTGGAACCAAATTTGAAACTGTAATTTCAAATCTGAAGCTTTGCACAATTCGAATTGTTGGTTAAAAAAATTCCTCAAATTTGAGGGGTTTTTTTTGTTTCAAACCTGATTTTCAAACCCGCATTTTCCAGAATTTCAAACCCAAGGTCAGTTGTTTCAAATAATGGGAAATTCATTAACTATTCAGCATTTATTCAGATGGGGTGTGTGTGAAATTTTGGGAAAGTGCTCCCAGTTAGTGATAATCTGATGCTTGAAACTGGATTGACCCCCGAGAGAAGGAGTAGTTGGGGAAAGTGGCTGTATAGATTTACGGAACTACAGACCCAGTTGGATGTAAAGGTTTGAAGTTTATTGTCGGTTAAGATAGATGTTTATTTAGTTGTATACATAAATATTTTCACAAATGTTGTTTTTTTAAAAATAATCTGTACTTGAAATGTCCTTACTAGATACTTTGCCTGCAATTTTCAGATTCCCTAATCCAACCCCATGAGAACTAGAAATATTCTGCAGCCATTTTTATCACTGGTTCTGAAGTTAATCTCTAAAACTGTTATTAATTATTTCAATTTCAGGGTTCGGCTTTCAAGCAATAAGGTAACAATTGTGTCAGGATGCAATTGCAATTACTCCTCTACAACCTGCTTGCAAATCCATCCTCCGATTCCTTTGGCAGATACGCTAATCAGCTAAGGAAAGGCAGTCGAGGAAAAGGGTCATGATGCATTACTAAAAGTGAAGTCTTCAAAGCTTGCATCTGTTGAAGCTGTTAACAGGACAAGTACTATTTCTTCCATGTTCTACCTCCCTCCTTGCATTTCTCGCCCATCTTGCCTCCATGATGTGAAACTTACAGTGGAATAAATAGAGTTGCCAAGGAGTGACCCCATCCAGGTGCTGACCATCTGATTCATGCCAGCACAGCCTGTGGCCATCATCCTACAGTTTCTTCTTCCAGCCCCTGAGTACCCACTTGTCCCCTTTGGGTAAGATTGGGACAGTTGTTAGCAGCTTCCCGCCACACTTCTTGATTAAAAAGCCATGGCCCATTGGTTACCAGCTGCAAACCTTTTCCTGTTTGTCCTTTTGTACCTACTGCAATTTGCTTATGCAAACAGTCTCACAGGCATATCTCTGTACCTGGCCCAATTGCATGCATGCAGCCATAAATGCCATACAGACACAAATGCAAATTAATTCAGCTGAGAAAAATGCTTTCTTCCATCTCCATTGAGCACAGAGGATGGCTCCCTACCTTGACCTGGGTGATTTGGCCATGTATCCACATGCTACTTTTAGACTAAACTATTGTAACACGCTCTACATGGGATGTCCCTTGAAGACGACCCAGAAAGTTCAGCTGGTATGGAATTACTATTGGGAGCTAGGAAGAATTAGCATATTACACCTATTCTGCAATAATTCAATTGTCTTCTGCTTCATTTATGGTTCCAATTCAAATTGCTATTTATTATCTATAAAGTTCATCATGGCCTGGAACCCATATAATCCGCAGGACCACCTCTCCCAGTATGGTCTTCTGTGATGATTTTGCACATCTGAGTTAGGTATTTGATGCCTTGCTAATGGGTAAGATCAGTGACTGCCCATACCTGCCTACTTTCACTTGTGGCTTCCATTTGGTGGAATAGTTTACCTGACAGTGTCAGGAAGGTTCCAACATTAGTCTTATTCCATACAACAGGACATGGGTGAGAAATGATCTGCAGCTCTTTCCTACATCAGTTTAGTCATGAGGCTTCTCTGGTTTCAGTGAGATTTACTCTCGGGTAAGTATGCATGAGACTGCAACTTTAATAGAGCTACAGAAACAGAGATGTGTATCGTCTTAAAGTTTATCGTTAAGGGTTACAAGATAATGTACAGCTGTTCTACATGTTCATCTCCCAACACAGATTTAGCAGCCTGTGTTGTATACTGTGTATACCCATAACACTAGAACAGGAAAGGAAATGATTTTTGTTGTTGTTGCTAATATACATGAACATGGGAAGCTGACACATGTAATGTGTGAGAAGTCTCTTAGCATTAAGTCAAGACAAAAAAATACCTATATCTTGATAATGCACATACCTGAGAGAATCCTGTTTCTTTTTTACTCCATAATAGAATTTACTTGCTGAAATAAAGGAATTTTACTTGCTGAAATAAAGGAAAATCCTGCTTTAAAACGTCTTTTTTAAAGATAGCTCTCTATTTTTTTAAAAAAATCACTTGCTGAAGTGAGTTACAAATGGCCTTGTAGGAGGAGACCAAGGTCCAGTACACTATGTCCCAGCAACTTCCACCCAGGTAACCCTAAAAGTTCACAAGCAAAACCAGAAGTTCATGACCCTCCTCTATTGCATATAGATCTTTCTCCCTGGCATCTTAATACACACAGGTATCATTTAGCTCATATCCACTGATATGTATTTTATCCACTGGTTTATTTTATTGTACTTTGTAGGATTGCCAGTCTCCAGGTGAGGCCCAGAGATCTCCACTTTTACAACTGATCTTCAGACTACAGAGATTGGTTTACTTGGAGAAAATGGCTGCTTTGGGTGGACTCAATGGTATTGTATCATGCTGAGGTCCTTCCCCTCCCCAAACCCTGCCCTCTGCAGGCTCCACCCCCAAAATCTCCAGGTATTTCCCAATACAGAGCACAGGTAAGTAATGTAGGTTGCCTGTCATGAGACCAAGATGAACCCCAGATATGCAACCAGTGCTGCTAAGACTTGCCTTGGACCTGACCCGACAGGAGATAACAGGCATATGGTAACCACTGTTCCCACTAAACTATGTGCATGAGCCAGTTTGGTATAGTGGTTAGGAGTGCGAACACTAATCTGGGAGAGCCAGGTTTGATTCCCCACTTCTCCACATGCAGCTGCTGGTGTGACCTCAGAGTTGTCTCAGGGCTGTTCTCTCAAGGGCAGTTCTTGAGAGAGCTCCCTCAGCCCCACCTACCTCACAGGGTGTCTGTTGTGGGGAGGGGAAGGGGAAGGGATCGTAAGCGGCTCTGAGACTCCCTCGGGTAGTGAAGGACAGGGTATAAATCTAATCTCCTCCTCCTCCTCTTCCGTATTAACACAGGAAGTCCTGCTCAGCAGCAATCTGGAGCTGAGCAGGATCTTGCACTGCCCATTGCCTATTTTAAGATTACAGCAGTTATGTTCTGCTCAGGATGTGGACTGCTCTGCTCAGTGGGGGGGGGGGATTAGAGAGTACATTGATTGGTAACCCATTATTTCCTCATCCTCTGGCAGCTAACAGCATGTCTCTAGAAACTGGCAAGAGGCATAGATTATGCCTGATACTTTCTCCCACTACTATCAGCTGTGTTGGCACCCTTACCGGATTGTATTGGCCCAAGCAGTCCTTTGGGTTACTGGGCCAGTGAACTGGTCCAGCCTTCATGACTTATTCTTGTTTTAAAGCAAGTGGCCATGACCATCCCCTTGCGGGAATAAACTCTGTAAATTAATTATGGGTTTTCTGAAGAAATACTCCCTCCGTTCTGAATTGACAGCTTAAAAAAGGTAATCCAAGTTCTTGTGTTCTAAGAAAGGAGAGTGAATAATTCTGTCTACTCTCTCTCCACAGTATTCATATTCTTATAAACCTCTGTCATGCTACTTATATAAAATGTAAGTGAATACAATTATATTGACTATAGTCTTTGTTTGAAAGCAATGTGCAACTTCCTCAGAAAAAAGGTAATGTTAAAAATGACATGAGCATTTCCCCCCCAAAAAAGTAGCCAGAATTTCCTTCTGCAAGAAGTGAATGAACAAGGAGATGAAGAACCTTAATATCGAACATTGGTTTAATAAATCAAAGCTTATCTGAAGGTATATATTATTAGAAAAACCAATGCATGTACCTCATACACAAAGAGTTCACACCAAGTCAAAGTCAAAGCAAGTTACAAACAATTTGGAGAAGCATTATATGAGAATTTCAGTGGGACATCAGAAAGAGAAAATGCTTTTGTCAGTGAATAATGGTTTCAAAAGTTGCTTCAAGCTAACTTGCCCTGTTGAAAATCTAGCTCATGGATTCATTTCCACTCATCTGGTATTTAATCGTTGAAGGCTGCCTGCTTTCTCCTTTCTTATTGTGCTTATTAGATCATAAAACTACCCTTGAGACACCAAGGTATCCATGTTCTCAAGGAAATTAGATCTTTGATATTTACTCATTAACCTGAACAATCAGAGTTGGATCTTTGCCTCAGTCAGAAAGCACAGAGCAGAATATTTTTGTTCTATACTTACAGCAGACTGATTTAAAAATATAAATATATATTTATATATAATGTGTGTGTTTGGTCAATATTCATATTAAAGAATCAGAACATTTTAAAGAGGGGGGAAGCCTGCCTGCTATTTTACCATGCTTTACCATCCCTAGGGAGCAATAAGAATTTTCTTTTTCTTGGTATTATGTGGAATGGTATTTCATTAACCTACAGAAAACACAACAGGTGAATAATCTTTTAGTATGGAAATCAGTTTATAGCTCTTCTCTGGCGGTAGTCCAGCAGAGATCACCATTGTTCTTCTCATCATTGTTTTCGCTCCACTGGCTGGTGGAGGCAGAGCTCACTCCCAGAAGAGACAATGGGCAAATTGTTTTCAAGGTGATGGTTGATGAGGTGGCCAATACTGTCAAATACACGATCCTTGGTACGAACCTGAAAAGAAGAGCGAGTATGGAGAAAGACTGTTTATATTCACCAGAGATGAGGCTGAAAGGGATACTGTTTCCTGAGCAATCAGCAGTAAACTGGGAAGTGACTTTTTCAAACCTTATTTCAGTAAAGAATTCATAGAGTGGTCTTAGATAAGTGTCTGTTAGCCTCTAGTCCCACCCCACCCACGCTAACATGAGGGGTTATTTTATATATCTAAGCGTGCCCAGATATAATCCAGACAAATTTCCTTAGATCAATCTCAGCATGTCATAGATGTATGGCCTCATCTTCCCTGTTAATGGAAACTGGGCAAAAGACAATTTCTCTTATAGCTTGGTTAATTGTTGTTGTTCAGTCGCACAGTCGAGTCCGACTCTTTGTGACCCCATGGACCAGATCACGCCAGGCCTTCCTGTCTTCCGCTGCCCTTTGAAGTTGGCTCAATTTCATGTTCGTGAGTAAATATTTAGTAAATATTAGTAAATTAGTAAATATTTAGTAAATAGTTAGTAAATATTAGCTTGCAATTCATCTGGAGAGTAAGGAATCACTAGTTTCACTGTCAATATTTGATTCTTTTAAACCTGGATGGGTTCACGTGCTGACAGATAACCTGAACTCACTTGAGTTGGATTGTGACTCTCTTCTGGCCTTAGGGAAGACTGGTGCTTATAGTTTGGTTAATAGACACCTTGTGGCGCAGTCTTCAGGAAGGGAAGTGGAGCGTATGTTCGCCCATGTACTTTGGATATTCATACTTTAATCAATTCCAGTCACCATATTATTTTTATAGTATTACGGTATCATGTTAGATATTTTTTTCTTGTAAGAATGAATTCACTTCCACTTGCTGCCTTACATGGACAATTTACAGGCCAAGAAAGGAGATCTAGAGTTTGTATTTGAGACAGGTCTTAGTAGAAACTATTGAGCTTTTCTTCTTTTTCTGTGTAATTTATTGGGGTCAGAGAAGAAAATTTCTGGATTCTCATGTGAATAAGGAGCCTGTTTGCTTTTCTGTCATTTTTCTGACTCTTTTAGTGGACCTGAATATATTATTAGATGTGTGCAAATATATAGCTGCTGCAATTAAATGTTGTTTATTTTTAATGAATATTGAACAGCAATAACTTTTTTGTTACATTGCAGTCTTTTTTTCTGGTTGAACAGCCTATTGGCTTTAAGACCTAGATAGGATGGGAATTTATATTTCCACTCCATGATTCTACTGATGCTAGGAAAGGGTTCACCCAATAGCACTGCAGAGGATATCTTGGGGGAAAATTGGATTTCAAGGGCACAAACCCTCTGGCACGATTCCAGTTCTCCCCATCCCTGGTGAAGGGAGAGGGAATCCTCCTTCCTTTGTTACCAAAAGGAGGGGCGTCATAGTTTGAAGGGAAAAAAATAGGGCGTCCTGATGGACAGATGGTGGTTAAATATTATTATAAGGGACTGAATGCATTTTTAAAAAATTGTACACCACCTTGGATATTTTTGTAATAGGAAAGCCATCCAAATGTTTTATAATGAGTACTTTGAACCAAGGCAACAATGTTGAGTATCAGTTTCAGATTAGCATCATGTCTTTTGAGCAAACAAATTGTGAGCCATGAACATTAGCTGTATGTTTTAATCCTAAATTACAAATCGTAGTTCTAACACTTGCACACTTTTTGATCCATTAGGCAAAGAGAAAGAAATGTTTGAAATGAAACTGTCTTTCTTTCTTCGTAAAGTATTTGGCCTGTCATAAGCAATGCTCCCTCTAAGCTGGGGAGTCCTGTGAGCAAAAATTCTGCTTTGTGAGCTACTGGCATTAAAGCTGTGAGTGAGCAATTTGGCTGCTGCATAAAGTAGTTTGCTCTGGAACCATCCTTCGTGAGCTAAGACAAAAATGTGTGAGCTGTAGGCTTAAAAACTGTGAGCTAGCTCACACTAACTCAGTTTAGAGGGAACATTGGTCACAAGTAGAAGCAACCACAGGCTAATTCAGTTTAGTGGCAGGCATATTATTATTAAAATGGTCTTTGACTGCCCTCTGGTGTCAAATATATGAGTTGCATCCATTCCCCTCCCAGGGTTGGGTTGGTTGTTACCTAATTTCTGGTCGCAGGCTACTGGCTAGAAACAAAATCTATGGCCCAGTTTTTGAAATCACAACTTCACTTGCAGGGCAGTAGTTTTCCAGTTAAACAGAATGAGGTGAGACGGAGTTTGGCAGATAGTTGAGATACTGTTATGATAAGAGGCAATAGAGACTGCTGGATCTGGGAGGAGGACCCTGGGTTGAATCCCCACTCTGCCACAGAACCTTGCTGGATGTCCTTGGGCCACTCTCAACCTAATTTACCTCATAGAGTTCTTGTGAGGATTAAATGGAGATGAGGAAAACAGTGTGGCACACTGCAATGTTGCAATGCTGGATTCCCATTGAGGAGACAAATGGACTCTAAATTAAATAAATGAATGAATGTTGGGTAAACATCCTCATGGGTGACCCTAAATTGCTATCATTATTACATATATTTCTGTTAAACATACAAAAATGTTTGACATGCATTTGAAAGTGTCCTATAGAAAGCTCAAAAAGTGTGCTTGTCTGTCTGTCTATGCATGCGCACAGGGGCTCCCTCCCTCCGCAAACCTTACCTGTCTGAAGGGCGCAGGGAGAGTGATCTGACATATTGGGTGGCTCTTTAAACATAGGTATGGATCTATCAAGGCCTCACTTTCCTGAAAATGACTCTTCCCAGTCATCTCCACCATGACTGCTTGCTGGGGTTGATTGGAACTGTAGTTTTCCTAGCCTCCCAAAGTGAACTAGAAGGCTGTTGAAAACTGCAACTTACAATCAGCCCCAGCGATCCAATAAGTTCTGGGAATGCACTGGGCAGCTGTCCTTGCGCTGAATGCTACTGAGTGCACAGATGCAAATAAATCTGAAATACTGCAGATTTTAAATTACAAATCATCGGTTTGAGTATATGGCACGCTCCACTTGAGAAACATGGGCCTTGCAAATAAGTCTGCGTGATTTGCAAAGAGCACACCATCATTAAGTGTAGGTTTCTATCATGCAAAGTGTCTTCTTTCTTGAAGACCCTGAACATTCACTAGCTTATTTGATGGCCTTTCGCTGCAGCAAGAATTAACTTTGTTTTCGCACACATACTTGCCATGGGATGGAGCTGGAATAGGGCCTGAATGAACATTGTTTGCAAGAGGCATGTGTTCTTCTTGCTGAACTTCCACAATACAGTCTCACTAGCAAATAAACACATGATTATACAAACGCTGTATATTATCTTCCCTCAAAGGGAAACTAATTCTGGTCCCGTTCACACGAGGGGATTTGGGCCAGTAGCGGGATGGTTCGGGGGCGGAGCAAATGGCCGCGATCACACCACAACATCTGGGAAGCGTGGTGCTTCCGTCCCTGAACTGGCCCATCCACTCGATGATCCGGAGCAAGTAGGAACCACCTACCGAGGTGGTTCATCTCCCTGCTGCACCGCAAACCGGGAGTCTGATCGCCGGCGCAAGGATGCGCCGGCGCGTCCCCGGCTCCGACGCCGACAGAGCGCTCTCGGACATGCGCAGTTCGGCTGGCTCGGCGTGCGATCTGTGTTTTCTCCCTAGCGTCTGATCGTGCCGGGGAGAAAAGGCGGCGCGGCCAGGGGATCCGTGGGATCCCGCCGCGCCGTTTCAACTTTGGCGCGGCTTTTAAAAGCCACGCTTTTTGCCGCTTTTCCCCCTGCCGTGTGGCAGGGGCCTTTGTCTAGATTTACCTGAATACCCCATTACACAGGGAAAGATAACAGTGGAACAGTATGAGGGAAGATATCTGCTTTCCATGCTAACAGACTTTAATTCAATGGCCTTTTTTTGATCCAATACTTACAGTTCCTTCAGGATCCACTAAGAGAAGGTGCTTGGCTTGTCCATTGTGTAGTCCAGTTAGCACATAGGATCCTGGATTGGAGGTGCTTTTCCTAACCAGAAAGTCTCCACATTTCTTTAAGAGCTGCTCTGCTTCTTTCCTGCTCATCTCCCCTTGATACCAGGGCTCTGTGCTCAGTTCTCCTGCTACTGCCAAATGAGCTGCTCTGGACAGAAGAGGACTGGTACATTCCACTGAGGTAGCCTTGTTCAAAATGGGCCCAGGAGGTTGGTTCTTGAGAGCATCTTCAAAAGGGCCTAGTGATAATGTAGATCAAACATACACAGATAGTGAGAAAAGAGCCACATGACATCACTGAGATCAAGTACAGTATCCACTGGGAAAAGTCTTTGCCCCTCCACCCCAAGAAATTAGGAGCCCCCTCCCCATCACTACTGTTCAGTTAATACCTTTACATAACTGAAAATAATAACTGTCATGGGTAGGACTCATACTTCAAACTGACATTTTCAAAAGAACTTACTCATGTCAAAAAGATCTTTTCCTGGACTGCTGTCTTTGGTGCTTCCTGTTGCTCCACTGAATACATTTTCAGCATCTGCCTGAAGCACCTGCAGTATTTCCATGTTTATATGTTGAGTATTCACATAGGTTGCAATCTCTCCTGGCGATGTGATATTAGACTTTCCCTCCGGCACACTGTAGATGTCCAAAGACCCTGTGAACATTAACATACCCTTTCATCCCAGTCTAGTATACAGGAAACCTGAACGCTCCCTAGAAGCTAAAATGACCAGACTGAGGCTATTGTGCCTTGGTCACATTATGAGAAGACAAAGAGTCACTGGAAAAGACAATAGTGCTAGGGAAAGCTGAAGGCAGCAGGGAAAGAAGAAGACCCAACATGAGATGGTTGGGTTCAGTCAAGGACCATGGCCATCCGTTTGCAAGACCTGAGCAAGGCTGTTAACGACACAGCATTTTGGAGACCCAGACCATTAATTTATAGGGTTACCAGAAGCCAGAAGCAACTTGACAGCACTTAACACACACAGCATACAGCAACTGGAGAAAGATAAAGGGGTGCTTCTACACAGAGGTTTTGTTCTGGTTTGGCTTCCAAACTGGAGTGGGTGTTTTGGAGCATCCACACAATGTTGCCTCTAATCATCCACCTACCAAGTTTCTCCCTGCTTTTCTCTGGCCTTTCCCAATCTGGTTCGATAGCATCTTTTTGCAAAGATCACAGTCCAAGTAAGCCTACAGACGATGTGGACAGGACGGTGTGAATTTTTAAGATCCTGCCCATATTGGCACTAATATCTTTGTTTGCTGCAGCCACGATTCCCCCCTCCCCTGTGCCACTAGAGATTTAAAAAATTGATCATTGCTGTATCACTATATAGCAATATATTACTCCCTCATGGATCACTGCCTTGACGTGGCTAAGGAGCTTGCATGGTTCGATGAGGCTGGGGGCTTGCCATGGAGGGCCACCCAGGACGGACAGGCCACAGCAGAGAACTCAGACCAAGTGTGATCCACTAGAGAAGGAAATGGAAACCCACTCCAGTATCTTTGCCAAGAAAACCCCATGAACAGTAACAAAAGGCTACAAGATATGACGCCGGAAGATGAGCCCTTCAGGTTGGAAGGTGTCCCAGTATGCTACTAGGGAAGAGCAGAGGGCAAGTACAAGTAACCCCAGAAAGAGTGAAGCGGCTGGGCCAAAGCTGAAAGGACGCTCAGCTGTGGATGTGTCTGATGGTGAAAGGAAAGTCCGATGCTGCAAAGAACAATACTGCACAGGAACCTGGAATGTAAGATCTATGAATCAAGGTAAGCTTGATGTGGTCAAAAATGAGATGGCAAGACTGAACATCGACATCTTGGGAATCAGTGAACTAAAGTGGACAGGAATGGGCGAATTTAACTCAGAAGACCATTATATCTACTATTGTGGCCAAGAATCCCGTAGAAAAAAAATGGTGTGGCCTTTATAGTCAACAAGAGTAGTAATGGGATACAATCTCAAAAACGACAGAATGATCTCAGTTCGAATCCAAGGCAAACCATTCAACATCACAGTAATTCAAGTCTATGCCCCAACCACTGATACAGAAGAGGCTGAAGTGGATCGGTTCTATGAAGACCTACAACACCTCCAAGAACTAACACCAAAA